TCCACTTATGTTTTAAAATATTGAGAAATTCAAATTGAAGAGAGATATACATACATACATGGAGTGAAATATATACATTTATGGACATTATTAAAACAGTATGGCCTCGATACCATAAATCAGAGCTTCTAATTATTATTTATTTTTCTGTTTATTTTTGTATTTTTATATATCAATAATATTATATATACTTTATAATTATATAACATATACTGTATATAAAGTCTTACAAGTCTTAACTATTGCCCCTGAATACGGGAAATCCTTACACCTCCAATACGATATTCATTTAAACTATATATTTGTCAATGGGTTTACTCAACTTATGTCTTTGTATTTTTAATTGGTACCTGATTAATAGCAGAAATATTTTACAATCTTTCATTTGCTTTAAAGGCTATCAGTCAAATATTCAAAGACTTAATTAACTACAATATATGGTCTTTAATATATTATTAGTTTTAGAGTTCAGTCCTTTTCAGCTATATAGTTTATCCATAGAATCATTTCGTATTTTAATTATCTGATATAAATTAATAGACTTTGCTATATGAATGTTTCCAGTAACTTAATGACTTTGTAATTAATTAGAAATAGAATGTTGCTACCAACTGTTGCCAGGGTGTAAGGTTGACGAAATTTTTTTTTTATTTCTATTTAATATAAACTCTTCATACATTTTATTTAAATTAATGAACCAAATTAAATACATATATATATATTAAATACATATATAAGATTTAACAAATATCATAGTCAAATTTAACACTTATCTCCACTCTGCTCCAGACGTATTACCTAACGTTGATTCCAAAAGGAGCTTTCCATCCGGACGAGGGGAGTTTTTAAAGCGATTTAAATCTCCCACTGACTAGGTTTGCAAGCTTTTCTACCATTCAAAAAAAAAAAGTCCTCGCCTCTTTAAGTTATTGTAACAGGCCTCCCCTCATATTTCTATGCCACGAAGAATTTAGTCTTTAAGTAGTTCAAAACCATTTTTTGTCTTATACGGGACTCTCACCAGAGTTTTGTTTATAATTTTAGCTGTCAAAAATTTTAATTTTGCTTTAAATGCAACAACAATTGGCAGCTAAAATCACAAACATGACAACTAAAATGACAAATAAAACTTTCGTGTGGGAGCTTATAGCCTTAACAAAAGGCTAACAAAATCTACAAGACTCAAAAAAAGTAATAAGTTTGCAATTTATAGAATTTATAGAGGCTTATTATCAACGATATGGAGGCAGCATAAAATCACAACACAATTTTCCACGTGATCAGATGTTTATGGATCAACAACCGTAATCAGTAATATCCATTCCATAATCAGGTTTCTTTATTAAATATATTTTTATCTTAGTTGATATTGGAAACTTTGAACTGCCTAAGAACAAAAAATAAGTACAGGAAAATAGTTATTTGAATTTTTTTATATTCTTCATGTATACAGTGTGTAAAGACTACAATGTATCTTTAACAGATAAGAAGAGATCCATTGGAAACTATAATATTTAAATCAAGCATATTTTTGTTCACCATGTTGAATTCAACTCTATCGGTTAATTAGATTAAACAGCAAAAATCTTTTTAGTTTTTTATAAAATTTGTTAATTTTCTAAGGCTAACAGCTGTTTCCGACAGTGCCCCAGTGTCCCTGTGCTGTTTAGAAATATCTTCTGGTTTAATTGTTCGTATATAGTTTTTGATCTGAAACTGTGAGAATGCAAACGTTCTAAAGCAAATCTTTAGAAATGTTGTCTACAAACAATGGAGTTAAAGTTTGAAAAAAAATAATTTATATATATAGGCCGTGTGCGAGTTTTGTTGGAGAGAAATAGTATGGCAGTAAATGTTGGTATTTACCAGAAATTCGAGTAGGGTAAATTAGGTGTTACCATTGTGAAAATTTAATAAGATGTTTAATAAATAAATTTGAAAACTTTTAACCAAAAATAATAAATAAGTGCAATAAATAAATAAATAAATATTAACATAAGTGCAGTGTAAAAAATCCCTAGGAAATTTCAATTTACTTTACCTCAATTTACTCGAACTCGCACACGGCCATCAAACAATTCAAAACTTCACGAGCTACAACTTAAAGTCATCAACGGCAAGCAGTACAAGTTAAGATTGCAAAATCCAACTATAGTTCAATTGTTCAATGATAGTTCAACTAAGACTCATACATGGTTCAAAGCTTCAGTTACTTGTTGGTTAATATTCTCTTTGTTTTTGTTATTTTATTCTGTTGTTATTTTTCTCTGAACATACATCTGAGCTTTGTGTTTACAGCTGTGCAGCTGCCATGTCTTGCCGAAAAAAATTTATAAAACATAAATTTTTTTTTTTGGATGATATTAAAATTAAAAATTATACAAAAATTATTAAAATTATACAAAATACTATTTTCCAGTTGCAAGACAACAATTGTTTGTATTCAAATTTTAATTTCATTTAAATTAGCCGTGTGCAAATATATATTATATCTAATATATTCAATCATTTATATACTGCATATTCAATAAATAAAAACAAAGATTTTATTAAATACTTATAGCACATTCACACTATCTCATTTAAGCAGTTTTGCTCATTAAAACCGCTAATGAGGATAATACACACATTCACAATGTTTCATTTAGACGGTTTAGCTCATTATAACCACAAATTACGATGATTTACCACATAAAAATCTTTCATAAAAATAAGCTCATTATTAATAAATCAGCTCATTTAAGGCGAAAAATGTTGAATGCAACTCTTAACAAAAAATTTCCCACAACGGAAATCAATAAGTATTTAAAATAACTGATCGCTCTTCAGGCATAAATCCATGACTTTAAGTCGTCTTCAATGACTCTGTCTCCAACTGGGTCCCTACCTAGATACATTTGTGATTATAAATTAACTAAACTGTACTACATAATTGAAATCATATTTGTGTAGGAAACAGTAAAAAATGCGTTAATGAAATTTTATAATTATAAGGTCGTGTGCGAGTTAGGCTAAGTTGCGTTCTAAATGAGGGAAATTCTAAGATGAGCCGATAATGTAGTGATGTGTCGATACGTGTTGATAAATGGCTAAATGTGTGCAGTGCAAAAAATCCCAAAAAATCTCCCATTTGGTTTAGCATCAACTTAGCCTAACTCGCACACGACCTAAAATTCGAAAAAGTTAAGAGTGGGTATCATTAAGAAGATAAAAGGTGTACTATATATACATATATATATAAATATATCTAAGTGATATATGTCCATTACACTAAACCAATTTATTCGAACTAAGCTTAAAGTTTTTTTAAGATAGTTATATTAATTTATTAACTCGGAGACAACATTATATGAGAAAATCGGAACAAATTCTTCACCACCCGCTAAACTATTCAAAACGTATCTAAGAATTAATTTAAAGAATAGGTGCTAACAGACGCCACATCGTTGCCCAAACAAACTATATCCTTAAATCATTTGTCTTGTGATGTCCTCTAACTTCTATTAAAACATTTACTGCATTTCTTGGGATGTTTAAAGATTTACAACAAATTAATATCATCAAATAAATATTGTGATGATATTAATTTACATACTTTCAGATATCACAATAAAAGATTCTATAATTTCTTTAAAAGCATTTAGGACGTGTGCGAGTTATGCTAAGTTGCGTTCTAAATGGGGAAAATTCTAAGTTATGCCGATAATGTAAAGATGTGTCGATACGTGTTGATAAATGGCTAAATGTGTGCAGTGCAAAAAATTCCCAAAAATTCTCCCATTTGGTTTACCATAGCATCAACTTAGCCTAACTCGCACACGTCCTTAATGTCAAATTTTCTTCAAAAAAACTTAGGACCATTTTTTGACAATTTTGTTCTCAAAACTTCTTTGTTCTTTTCTAAAATAGCAAGTCACTTAAATTGCACTCTTTATTTAGTAATATTTACTGTTCGTACTTACTCAAATCCTGCACTTCCTTTGGTTTCTAGTAATCATTGAAGAAAGCACTGTTATTTGTTGATTTGAAATAAAATGTATTTTTTATAAACCATTACATATTCTTTTCTATATGCAACAACTGCTGCATTCATATTGTGAACAATATCACATATATTATATATTAAATTATTTAAATTTTCTGCGTTTTTCATGCTAAATTATTTTCTTCTAACAATATAAAATTTAATGTCTTCTGTTTACAATTAAAGTGTAAACAAAGGAAAGCTCTATAACTAAAAATTTTTGACACATAAAAGCTCTTTCCCAAGCCTAAAGTAACTTTTGCTATTGTGAACGACAAAAAGTTCAATGTTACTAAGTAACTTAGTATGTTACCAATGAAAATGCAGTATAAGTTAACGGTCTAACAAAATTAGTGATAACATACTATATACAATATACCAAATTATTCAAAAGTAACAAACGTTCAATTATTATGTCTTCTTCACAGAAACAAACCCACAGCGCTGTCACAACGATTTCATTTAAACATCAATTTCTACAATATTATGGAAAATAGTCATATATTCCATTCCAACACTCTTAATTAAATACTGTGAACGTTGTTTAAGCGTATATCACAATAAATATAAATTCTTGTAGTTCAATATATAAACACATGTAATTTTGTTAATGAGAGTTCGAGTAAATTTATGGTAAATTGAGGGAAATAGTATGGCAGTAAATGTTGGTATTTACCAGAACTTCGAGTAAGGTGAATTAGATAAAAATTAGGCAAATTAGATGTTACCATTGTGCAAATTGTATAAGATATTTAATAAAAAAATAAATAAATTTGAAAACTTTTAACCAAAAATAATAAATAAGTGCAATAAATAAATAAAAAAATATTTACATAAGTGCACTCCAAAAAATCCTTACGAAATTTCAATTTAATTTACCTCAATTTACTTGAACTCGCAGACGGCCTAAAAATGGTTTAACTCATTTTAATTTTTGCGTTCACTGAACATACACCACAATTTGTTTTGCTTCCAACAGATGTTGGCTTCTGTCAAAATATGTGCCTGCCGCACGCGATTTGTACCGCAAGAAAATAGTGCAATAGAAATTGGACAGAATGTTAAGTTTTCTGAATAAAAGGTGTGCACTATTATTGCCGGGAATTCGAAATTTCACTATTGGCAGTTCGCTTAAGACAGCGGAAGAAATCCAAAGTAACGCACCAAGTTTAATATTGCCGCTTGACTTTGAGAGATATTCACCCAGCAATCTGAATGCTTGTCGACAGGCATGGATCGAAAACACAGATACTGTTGAGGAACGTAAGCTGGGACTGATTGAGCTGCATCCTGATATTTTTGCAGCACAACCGCGTATTGATGTAATACAAGAAAACATTGAATGGCAACAGAAATATCGTTATGTAAGTTTTGCACATACCAAATCTCGCGCCGAAGTGAAAGGCGGTGGACGTAAGCCCTGGCCACAGAAAGGTTTGGGTCGTGCACGACATGGTTCTATACGGTCACCACTCTTCAAAGGTGGTGGCGTAGCGCACGGTCCACGCTCACCAAAAACACATTTTTATATGTTGGATTTTTACAAGCGCGTCATGGGCCTAACGTCAACGTTAAGCGTGAAATTGGCGCAGGATGATTTGCATATAATAAAAGATGCTAACATACCTAATGGCGATCCGCAATTCATTAAGGATTTAATTAAAGAACGCAATTGGGGACCTTCTGTGCTAATAGTTGATAAGTACGCTTAAAACTTTTAAACAAGTAAACACTGTTTAATTACATTTTTTGTTTTTTCTTTTTTGTTCTTCAGAAGCGATATATTTCCCGAAAACATTTGCTATGCCACCGACGAAATTGGTTACGTTAATCTTATGCCAGCATATGGACTAAATACATATTCCATGCTTAAGCACAACACCTTAGTTCTGACCGTGGATGCTGTGAAGCATATTGAAGAACGCATTTTATACAATCTAAATCGGGCGGACGCGGCGAGCAAAAACGGAAAATTCAAATTAAATCAAGTTTAGTTTATCTTTAAATTTTAAAAATTAATTATTAATTTTGATTTTTAAATTTTAAGAATTCGTATGTTTTAATTCTATCTTGTGTGGTATCTATACAAAGTGTTTATTATAGTATAATACATTTTACTTAACACGAGTGTTTATTAGAATAAGAAAGTAGTAAATACGAATAATTATTATAATCTAAAGTTTTTCTATCGAAAAAAGAACAACCATACGTTAAACCTGTTATTTTCTGTCCAATGCTGAACAAACCAAAAGATTTAAATTGTGTGCTGGCATTCACTACTTTGGAAAATAAAGTCACAATCCATCTTCCTATTTTTTAGTTGTGTATATTACAGAAGTATGACTTCCTTGTAAAATGGAATTCTTTGCTGAAATGAAAACCTTAGTGTTTACTCTGTAACCTTTTTAATTTTGCAGTTTCTAGTTTTGTTAATTTGGTACCTATGACAGATTTATTTAATTCTTTTTATTGCTTTTTTTAAATATATATTTTTTTGTTGATTTAAAATTGTTTACAACTTTTAATATTTAAATAATAAAATTAATATTTTTCTGAAATCGAATCTCTTGAAGGATAATAGGTGGTTCGTTTTTTGCGTGTATATGGATGATGTATGGTGTATATGGTTGTAATAAATAGATAAATAAGATAACCACATGTTAGTCTCTGCTGATCTATTGCGAACGATGCATGTAGTGAAAACAACTTATAGTCCATACCGATAGGTTCCGTAAAATAGATACTTCAGGACCTTTTTTTATAAAAAACCACTTGAGTTATGAAGCATATTTATTATATTCGACCAGTGTTTCTGCTCAACAGCATATTCTATAAAATAAGACAAATAATATTGCAAATGAAATTATATAGCCAATTATATAGGATTGTTCAGATCAGATGAGATCGCGTGCCAATACAAATCACTGTACATATTGATGGACAGCAAAAACAAATACATACTTTCATCGTTGTTTTGGAGAAAAATAAAACTACGGTTATAACATTAAATTTAGGGTTATTAATTTTAATTAATTTATTTGACGTACCATAAAAATAAAATAATGTAATCTCATTTAAGTATGTATGTATGTTGATCCTTTTTTTCGAGTCAACGCAACTAGGCACTTTTACTCTTTGATAGCTGGGGGCACTACAGGGTCCCACCCATCTCATTGACTAATTTATATATTGCCTATAAGCTTCACGATTATTCAATAAGGTACACCAAACAAAAATTTGAGTAATTGTGGTAGATCAGAAACATGTCGTGGGTCGCACAAATATGACCCGCATATGATCCGTGAGTTTTGCTTTGGACAGCCCTGATATAGAGCATCCAAAGAAAAGTTCCAAGAAAAACTGCTTGAGGAACATCATGTTCTAGTTGAATAAAAGTGTTATACATGCTTTTCTGAAAACACTATATGATTTTATAGCGTATCAAGGCTCAATATGTGAAGAAGACCATATATCGACTAAGTAAACGCATATAGTATAAGTTTATCAGAAATCAATAATATATTTCTCCCTATCGCAACTAAGTTTGTACTAGTGTGGTTGAATATCGGTATGAGTTTTATGTCCACATAACGAAACAGTAGAAGAGAAACCACAATTCGTAAAATCACAACAAAATACTCGACCACCTGAGGGAGGCTTAACCCCATCGAGACCACAGAAGCATTTATTGGCACGTATGTTTACAATATATACCCTAACTACAACTCATTTCTTTGGTATTAAATATTGATCAATTAAATCAATTTAGAAAGTCAAATTATAAGACTTTATGTGGCTTTCTAGAAACCTATTTCTTCTGGTCAACAAAGCCGGGCATTTACAGAGAAAATCTATTATGGTTTATTTTTTCTCCAGGGAAATTATGAGAAATGCGCAGTTTCTCTGCGTGAATTCTTACATATCAATGACCAGAAAGAACTGCAGTAAGCCTTGCAATTCTCTAGTGTAATATAAACCAAGGGACACATCCAGGGAAGCTCCAAAGCGAGCTAAACTGCAAACTTTATCGATTGGCTCTCTACATTCTTTCACTATCTTAGATTTTGTTGTAAAGGATTTAGGGGCTTTGATTGCTGTCTGGTTCTCAATGAAAATGTCAGCACTACATCTGTACTTCTTGTGACTTGCAATTTGACGAGAGGTTTCTCTAATTGCTAAGATTTTAGCTTAAAAACCGTGGCCTCATTAGTTAGTCAAGAGAATTGTTCATGTTTTCAGATGGCACGAAGATCCGTACTTCCGCCTCGCAGTTCATTTTCAAGTCATCCGTAGAAATTGAGATATCGTAATTTGCTTTAAAATTTTTTCTTTCACCATTTATTTCAGAAATGAATGGTATTTTTGTTATTATCCTTAAAATCTTCGATTGCAGTCTATGCAAATTTTCAACATTTAATAACATCGCGGTTGTCTTGTACTTGTTAATTTGCAAAGGTTCAATACAAATATGTGGTGAATCAATAACTTTTTTAGGATTTAAGGTTTTTTAATAGATATAAATTGAATAAACAATAACGAATATATATCAATCGAATATATATATAATAACGAATATATATATAATAATATATCAATATCAATCTAATAAAGTCACAGAAAAATACATATTTAAGGATGTATAACCAACCATCACACAGGACAGACTAAAAGGACGAAACATTTAAGTGACTGATGCTGATAACTGAAAGCAAATACCTATATACACAGTCACATATATATTTCATGTATATATCTATATATATATATATACATATATATATTTATCCGTTTTAATGAATTTTAATTAAAAAAATTTTATTCAAAATAAATTTGCGTAGTTTACAATATTGTCAAAATTTAAATTAAATGAATATATATCATATATAACCTTTTTCAAGGTTTTTTCTTTTTTAAATTTAACGAAAATGACGCAAATAAATATTATGAAGTATAAATATAAAAACTTTTGAAAATGAAGAACAAATGTTTTAAAAGAAAAAATTGTTTTTATAATTAAAAAAAATGTTTCTAATGTGGGTCCAGATGAAGACGACGTACATTCCAGCGTTCTAAGGAGCGCTTATTGTCCTCTGGTATTTGGTCTTTAAAATAATCCCATTCATTCTTGTAATATTGATACAGAGAAACGGGATCGCTTCTCATTTGCTTTCTAGTTCTGCATTCAGCAAAACGACGAGAAACTAAAAAATAAAAAACAAAAAAAATATAAAAAAATATAATAAATAATATAAAATAATAAATATATAAAATATATAAAGAATATATAATAAATATATAAAAAAAACATATAAAAAAATATATTACAAAAATAAATAAAAAAAAATGTAAAAATAGAATATAAGAAAAACATAAAAAAATATAACAATATATAAAAAATATATGTAAATAAAATATATAAAAAGTATTTTTATATAAACCTATATATATATTTTTCATATATAATAAATAATGTTGGGACATTACTTACTTAAAGTGCTGTGTGTGGCGACTGAATCAGTTCTCTTTGTTCTAGCATTGGGCCTGCGATGTGAAAAACCTGGTAAAGCATAAGTCCTTTCTGAGCTACTTTCATATTCAGCTCTTTCTGAAGTGCGGCTTTTTATCGGATTACGATTATGTCCTGTTATTTGACCGCGTTCTGCACTATGAACGCGAACTCCATCGTGCTTACGTCCTACTACACGTTCCTGATTCACGGTATTAAAGCTATCTTCATTACGCCCATGTTTTTCAATTCCACCGCGATCTGTACCATGAGCACGCTCTCCGCTACGACCATGTCTTTCAATTGCACCACGATCTATACCATTACTACGTTCTCCACTACGAGCACGCCTTTCAATTCTATCACGAGATATACTATGAATGCGCTCTTGACTACGTCCACGTCTTTCAATTCCACCACGATCTGAATTATAGATACGCTCTCCGCTACGTTTAGGTTCTACATCTCGACCTTGTTCCACAGCATGGATGCGTTCTTTACTGCGTCGACGACTCATTACTCTACCATTATCTGTACCACTCATACGTTCATTAATATACTGGCGTCCTTTAGTTGCCTCGCGATCTGTACTCATAATGCGTTCTTTGCTATGTCGACGATCCATGACTCTACCACGATTTATGCTGCTAATATGTTCATTGCTATACTGATGACCCATATTTCCACCATTATTTATGCGTTCTTTACTGTGACGACGCCCACCAGCTTCAGCGTTATCCTTAATTGAAGTAGATTCTCTCTTACGCAAACGCCTCTCAATTTCATCATCACTTCCATTCATAACACGTCTTACTTCGCGTCGCTGTGCAGTAGTATGTTCCTGATCAGGTCGATATCCTACAGATCCGTCACGATTTGTACCACTAACCCGTTCTCCATTGCGGTCTATGTTTCTTCCTCGTGCAATAGGGTCATCATTGATTTCATGCGTCCTTTGACGTTCACGTTGCATTATTTTTGCAACTTCCTTATTGATATCAAATTTGCAGTTGCAAGATACAAACGCATTCTGTGTTGTTTGGTTGTTAGGTTCGCCTATCAAATTATTTTCTTTATCATTATATGAAACACGACGAATCTGAGCACTACCAGAGGGTCGAATATTGTCAGCTCTAGGATCATCATTACAGACGTGACTTTTACGATAACCATTACTTGAACTCTGAATTATAGTATCAGAGCTGGTAGGACTTGTTGAATGTGTGATATAACCCGTTGCCATGTCAGAATGGAATCGAGATCCTTAAAAATTAAAAATATATTTAATTTTGTTTTAAATCATTTGATTCATTTTATTATAGTTACCACTGCATCTTGAACTAGGTCGTAATCGTAAAGCTGACACATCTGTAATTAAATCCAATCGATCATCAATTTTTGCCCGAAAACTGGCTGTAGTTTTACGATATAAGTCTGGAACGCTTCTCGGGTCTCTATAGCGTATCCCAAGCTTTTCTTCATATTTTATTAGCTTGCGTAGATCTACAGAATTATAAATAAAGCAGTTAATAAAATAAATTATATAAAAAAAAGAATACAATATATACATTTTTATGATTAAGATCAAAACTATATGAATTATAAGAAACAAGATTTTTAGAAACTGAAAAATGGTCCGTAAAACTGGCCGATAACATTTTTTGGCACGATTTCAATATCCCGGATATGCCCATTTGACAACAAATTTTAGTAAAGTCAGCTATTTTGAACAACTTTTACACTACTCTATTAATATAGATAAGTCTTAACGAAATCGGGCCTTAAAGTTGGAAATTTTTACATGAAAACCAACAACAATAATTACCAGTTGTTTGTGTAATTATTATACCCAATGTAAAAAGTTTTATAACTTCAAACCTGGATAACTGGAGAAGTAAGCTCTATATAGTATACTAGAAGAAACTACTCAAAATAGCTAAAATCCGTTGTCAAATAGGCATGCCCGGGAAATCGAAATCGCATACATTTTTTTATATATCTAACGTATTACAAAAAGTTTGGAGGTGGGGTTTGTGTAGCCCATTCGTAAACAATTATATCGAACATGGATACTTTGTCACTGTTCCCGCGAACTCGAATTTGTCTTTGTATAAAATATTCCGGTATATTTAAATAAATAACTAAACTTATTCTCACCTGGGTCTGTATCTGGATCACCACCTATCATTTTGACAATAAGGATTATTTATGAAAACAAAAGCAATCTTTTAGCCAAGAAGCGTTAATAGCTTCAGTTGATTTGTTTTTCTACCGACAAAAATTCTTAATCGGATTTTTTTTAACAGATCATATGAAACATTTTTTTACTCCAAACTTTTTTAAAAAATTTTTGACAATGTAATTTTTTTAAAATAAATGATGACATGATGAGTTTTTCTTTTAGAAAAATTTAACTAAAAATAAGTTAATTATATTTATTCAAGTATAAAATAATTACAAATGACAAGAGAACTCTTATTCATACGAATATTTCTCTATCGAACCCATTGTCGAACCCATTTTAAAAATATAACAGACGATTTGTTCCCCAAGTAAAAACAGCTGATCACTGTGTATCTCTGCGGACAGCGTATCACTATTCAAGGATACGTTTCAGATGGTGGTTGCTGCTACTTCCCACTGATTCCATGTAATGAAATCCGTGTTCAATTTGAATTGATTAGGTTCGGCCTATGTTTATATATATTTTGATTTACTTCAAACTGTTATATGCCACTTTTTTCACATATCCTATAAAAACCAAATATAAGATAAAACGCACCAGCCAACTTCAGACAGACTTAAACTCGAAGTAAACTATTTTATGGGAATAGACATTTATAATATACTTTACATATCATATGCACACTGTAAATCGGGACTTTAATATATTTTAAATAGGGATTCGACTGGAGTAATCAATACTGGTTGTTTATTGGACGAGAAATGAATCAAAGAAAAAATAGTCCAAAATTTTATATAAAGATCCATAATAATCACTTTCATGGTATACATTAGAAAAAATAAATATACTCTACATTTATATATAGAATATATATATTCTACATTTGTGAGAATAAATAATTATGGAATATTTATGTCAAAGGTAAGTTATATCCTTCCAATAATACAGAAAAAATTCTCGTATATACTTATACGTCACGATGTCACGATTTTTTGCTAGGGTTCTTAAAAGGTTTTTCCGCTTGGTTGGATTTCTTTCTATAGTGTTCGCTTCCACGTTTGCTTGGGCCTACTAGGTCTTCTGCTTCCTTGAGGATTTCTTTGAATGGAAGATTGTACCATACAATCAGTTTCTAATGGTCAGGCACTACATCTATAAAGAGCTCTGACAATCAACAGAGCAATAATCTATCAGTAGATATTGCTCTGTTGATAGAACAGATATGGATATAGAACATACAAATTAGATTTGTTAGATATACATTAGATATCTGTGTAGATATAGAACATACAAATTGATAAACTAGAAAGTGTAATCTCTAGACATAGCTAGGTTTTACTAGTATAATTTAGTACAATTGGTATAAATTGTGTCACGAAGAATACTATAATTTCTACTAAATGTACGTTGACGATGTACCACACAGTGACTTTTTCTATCTTCCTAGTAGAATTTGACAGTACTCGACATTTATTAGGCTCAGAGTATAGAATATATAAAATATGTAGGTTAGATTAGAGTGACAGCACCAAAGCTCACTCAAGCATAAATAATGGCCCATTGTGATACCACGGATAAATAAAATAGATGACACAAAGATTAGATTCCAATAAAGTTGAAATAGTACACTATAAATATTGGTCTCAAATGCAAAAAATTCAAAGTATAATACGAATGAATAATCTGTAGAATATTTATTTAATTTATCGTAGTCCATTGAAAAAGCATGATATTTGACTGGTATTTTGTACCGGTCATATTATGTCATACAAAAAACTTTCTGCTTTAGAAAAAATTTTTGAAAAAACCAGTGACGCATATAGATTTTTTTTACTATGTAGTAAGGAAATCCCATATGTGTATAGGCTTTGAAAAAAAAAAACAAAAAGTGACCTTATCTATTAAAAGAAAACTAACATAATAACATGCGATTTAAAAAAAAAGCAAGGAATCCGGTTCGAATCTGGACACATTATTTGACAAGGAATTTTGGTAAATTCAGCTTTTCAACTCGGGGTTTAAAGCTGGAAACTTTTATATGAAAATTGTGAACAATAAGCAGATTCTACTATAATCGATTGTAGGCGTGGCCGGAAAACCAAAATTGCTATAAAAAAAATTACTTGTTTATTATCTACCATGATTTAGACCAGTTAATACATATGGTTCCGTAGTGAAATCTTCAAGGCATAAGAAACAAAGTTGTCGTAAGAGAATAACACGAAAATTGATCGATATTTCCAATTGTCAAAACCTTCCAATATTTGACTAATATTTTTATATGACTTGAATATTGAATCCTATGTTAATCTATTAATTTCTTGATATAATAGAGAACTACAAGATTTATAATTATTAATAAAGTCTTATGTTCACTGAATAAGGAATATAATGGACTAACGATGCATCCCACATAAGCCTATAAATTTCTTCATATAAAAAAAAGCTATAAGATTTATTTATTAAGTTTGTATTTATTAAGTTTGAAGTTCTTCCACTGATGCTTTTTTATATATCTTGAGGTCGTACCAATACCGGTAAAAATATTTCTTCGTACGGTTGTGATTCAAAGTTTAATAGTTATACTCCTTAACGTACCGTAAGTTCTTGTAAAATGAACCGAGGTCCTTATGACAAACTTTTTCATTCTTATTTTCAACTTGAAAAAAATTAAATTTACCAAAAAAAATCTTTCAATATACTTTGAATGAATTGGGTGTCATCATTTAGTTTCCCTACTGTTTCAGACAGACCGGTAGTACTACCATTTCAAATGCTTTTTCAAGATTTTCAACTGATACAGAATATCTTGATACATCGACTTCCTTAATTATGTAAGGACTTTAATCTATTGACTTTAATTGTTTTTTTAAAAATTTAAAGAACATACAATTAAGGTAAAGCTTTGACTGAATTGTTTAAGGAACACTGACTCTGCGCTTTAAATTTGGCAGGGTACGAGTTCAACCTTTAGTACTTACAATCTCAAAAAAATTATATACGAATGAATGAAAGAGATATAAGTATAAGATAAGTATATCACTGATAAATTGGTATTTGGCAACACTCGAAACAGCTATATGGGTAGCCAAAAATTCATTTTATTAAAATAAAAAAATTCTGTTGTTGCAATTCACTATTGTTCGAAACCTCTCTATTAAATACAATAGTTTCTTCTAAGTAGAATAAAAAAGTCACGGCCACCAAAATTGATATTAAAACTAATTTTAACATTAAAAATGTACAGCAATTCTAATCGATCTATAAATTTAAAATTTACGGAAATGCTACTGTCTTTTGATTTTCCCCAAGCAATAATTTTTAATTTAAATTTTGAGAATACAGTTTTGTTTTTTATAATTAAAATAAATTTTTACTTAAATTAATTTTTTAGACTAATCATACAGCTGTTTCGAGTTATTTCCAGATATCCATCATCAGTGATAAATATATTGCTAAATATCTTTCATCAGTCATATGTATGTTATAATTACATTAACCATGCAGCTATTCCAAATATTGTCAAATATGCAATATCAGTGATAATCATTTATGATATACACATTATATATACATTTATAAGATCTAATATGAGAAGCATTAATATTGATAAAGATAAATATAAAAATTTATATATAAATAGCAATAAAAATAACAATCACCAATAATATTTTTAAAGACCACAGATGATAGATATTTAGTAGTATCCAAAACGGCTGCAAAGGTCAGTCTAAAAAATGCATTTAATTAAAAATCAATTGTTTTAATTAAATTTTCAGACTATTACACCATTTTCTATTCCTGGACTATTATAGTTTAACCCGAGATTTATTTAAAAATTTTAAAAAGCTTTTTCTTCCACAAGAGAGCTTTCTCTCACGTATCTATGTCAAATGAGAGCGCAAAAAAGAATTTAATAACACTTCCTTTTTTAATTTTCGTAAATTGAAATTAAAGCAACAAAGAAACTTTATTTTCTCCTGAAAAAACAAAAAATAACCGGATATTCTCTTTTACAAAAGCTTTCTGCTTTAAACAGCTGTTTAAAGATTGGACACTTTTAGACCCAAGAAATAAAAAAATATATTTTATTTAAATATTTTGTTCTAGTTTGAATATATTATTTGAATATCACATTAGTTAAAAATGTATATATATTATTCTAGTTCGGGTAATTAAATTTTTAAAATTTTAAAGCACTATTTTAAGTACGAAATATATTACAAAATAGTAAATAGTATAAATTTTTGCACTAGATTCAATTCTAAAATTATAGCATTGCTCGATCTGATTTCGATTTCTAGCATATGTAGATTACAAAAAGAATTTGAGTAAAGTGAATGATATTACTTTTTCAGTAAGCTATATGTCTATATAGCTTAATTTTCTCCAAAACTCGATATTTCGAGAAATTTTTATATGTATAAAGCGTAGCAGAAAAAATGTGACAACTTTAAGGCTTGACATTTCGATATGAGCGCTATATTGGTTAAGTGTAGCGGAAAAAATGTTACAAATTTAAAGATAGATAATCTCAAGACGCAAACTACAAACAAACTTCCATAACATGAAGTACCACTTTACAAAAAAAAGATACGACTTATGAAGTTAAAGAATTTTTTGTATTTGTATGTAATTTGCGCTCCCTAAACTCTGTTGCACTCTACCATATTTAGTTTGAGTTATAGTAAATTCGAGTTATAGAAGTTCTAGTAATGGAACTCTAACTATATATAAATATAAAGTGTCGTGGAAAATGTTTTATAACTTTAAATTCGATATTACGAAACGTAAGCTATATCGGCATATAGCTTAGTATATATAGTTTTAATAAAATTCGTTGTCAAACAAACGTACCCGGGAAATCAGAATTATAACAATTGCTCAACAAGAAAACCGATATACGAAATACGTCTTCCCTATTTCCCTGTAATTATTTATTTCTGATTTCATAATACATATGTACCATGAAATACGAACCACCAAATGAATATGTCTTTTTTCCACTTGCCAGACTTTAAGGCTACCAGATGCCCACTAAATTGGTGCTATTGGATTTATGGTTTCTTACGCGTTGGCGAACGAGTATCGAAACGATGAGCTGTATGAGCTATACCCCGACATTAACATAGTTAAGCGCATAAAAATTCAGCGGATTCGCTGGTTTGATCATGTCGTACGAATGGAAGGAAGTGCTTTAGCTAGATTCGGTAGCCACAGGTGAAAAACACCGCATCTTCGGTAGAAGGACCAGGTGTACAACGATTTAGGGGTGCTTGGTACTAACAACTGGCGTCGACGCGGGTAAGGACAACTCACTACAGGCTACAGGCGTGACCAATTAAGTACTAACTAAGGTGCAATTGCCTGAGTTATAATTAAACTGGACTTGAACAATAGCTGTCCGATATACTGTGTCTATTGTTTGATTGTTTCACTATTCTATTCAATTTCTCGGATTACAATAATAACAATATGGATGAATTCAAATTCAACTAGAAATAATTAGAATAAAACACATGTGCTTTTATATTTCTTTAGTATTGTTTTTTATTACTTTAATAACATAGAAGTTGTTGTTGTTTTAAATTTCTGTTTTTAGCTACAAGTTGAAATCTTTAACACAAATTATATAATTTATAAAATTAAATTTCTGTTTTATAAAAATTACACAAGAATTTAAACTCGCCTTCTGCACTTCTTTGCGTTTTTACAATTTATAATTTAATTACTTACAATATTTAAATTTACTTTACACAGATATCATATTACAATTTTGGATATATTCGTATTTTTATTATGATAATAATTTTTAATATTTACGAAGTACAAGTAATAGTAATAGTAATAGTAATAGTAGTAGTAGTAGTAATAGTAGGTTTTAATATTTATTTTTAACTAGTTTTATATATTTAACACACAGTTCGCTTTATTCAATAAATTTAAACATTCTTTGTTGTTGTTTTTTTTCTTTCTTTTTATTTTATTTTATTTTATTTTATATTATTATTTTTGTTTTTATTTGTTTAAATTATTAATCTAATATATAATGATTCGCTCTTCGCATATGCGGTCAATAAGCTACTTAAAATTACGTATCTTGAGGCATAAAAATTGTTTAAATAGATTTTTTTTTATTACCATAATTGAATTTCTGCTATTATCGTAACACTATCTTAAGGGGTAGGTAGGTATAACATATTACTCTGATATTGAACAATCATACGCTGAACTTCATTCAGTTTCCGCTCTCTATATTACAATTATACATTAAAAGTTTCTTATACTATATATACTTGCATTGTTTTAGGATGAGAAGAATACTTAAAAGCGGCTAATGTATCTATTTATCTTAAATTGTTACAACTGTTTGTCCTATTTTGTTTTTGTTTTTGTTTTTTAATATGCAATTAATTACATTCTGAATTTGTTAGGTTGTCAAAGTGTGATCTTCTCTCATTTACGCACAACACACACAACATACATAACACATAATACATATACATGCACTTAATCCTATTTATTAACTAAATACATCTTTTAGACTATATCGCAAAGAATCATAAATCATGAAACACTCATCGTCATCCTCAACCTCAACCTCATCTTCATTTTCATTCTCATCCATATCAATCAATAGATTCATCATTTATATACTCATGCATTTATGGTGTGGTGTGGTGTAGGGTATGGTATGTCAGTAGTGTATATCGTATGTATATATCAATCAATCAATGTGTGTGTGTGTGTGTGTGTGTGGATTTATATATTAATTTAATACATATATTTTTTTACATTTTTAGTCTATAACATTTATTTATATATATTTATTTGATTAACTATTTCACATTAAGTTCTACATATGTAATTATAAGAAAACATATTAAAAATATTTTAAACAGGAATATCTTAAATCGGTACAACGGTAACAAATCTGGATTGTTGACATTATTTGTTGTTAATTACAATAAATATTCTGTGTTTTGAAATGTAATTTTATTTAAATTTAAATATATATATAAACATAACATGTTCACTTATAATAAATACATCATTCAATTTGTTTATATTTAATTTTTTTTTTTTAATTGTCATAATTTTATCATCAGTCCAGCTTGTTTCTTTCTCTTATATATATTGAATGTTGTGTTTTATCTGCGATAACGAAAACGTCTAAATGGTGCACGTAGACGCCGGCAATTCACTCTAACCTCCTTCTTTAGGAAATGGGATAATGGTAATGTTTTAACCACGGAACTCTTCGCTTCAGTACCAAAGCTGAGATTTGTTGTACTTGTGTTTTTGAGTGCATACTTGCCCAAATCGAATTTACGTTTTGGGGTATGATTTGGACAATTTTCATGATGTTCATCATCACCACCTCTAAGCTGGGGTTGGGAATTGCTCAAATCTAAATCAGTTTCTAAACCATCCGATGAGACAGTAAATATATCGGAATTATCTCCGCCTTTATCGCTTGGACTAATACAGCTGCCTAAACTTCCGTTAAGTTGTGGTGTATGTCGCAGTGTACGCAACATTTGTGTGGAAGGAGTTGATGTAGCTGCAGTATTACTGCAAGCATTTAAGGAATTGCTTAACTTATCGATTGGACTATCAAGTGGTGCATTCCGACGGGATCGCTTATTTCTTCCTAAATATTCATTCACCTCGTAATCCTCATCAGCTGTACCACCTGCTTCATCATCGCCTTCTTCTTCATCAACATCTGCATCAGCATCAGCATCGTCTTCTCGTTCATCTTCTATTGAATCTGCTATTGTTTCAGCATCATCTTCTTCTGGTATGCTTTCGGCGGCTTCTATTTCAGTATCCTCAGCTTCTTCCTCATCATCGTTATTTGTATCTATTTTTGTATTTTCATCCATTTCGCTATCTGGCGGTGTAATTATAACTTCACTTTCACGTGTTTGCGGATCTTTAATATTGTTATCAACTGGTTCCTCCTTCGACTTAACTTCTTCATTCACATTTTGTAGGAAGCGAATTTTCTGCTTTAGCATTTGTTGTTGACGAGAGGATGTTTTCTTCTTTTGTGCTTTTGGCCAGCCAGTACGATTCGATTTTAGATTTTTACGTCTACGAAAATAGCTATGCAGAGCAACCGAATTATAAAGGCTAACACTTTTCTGCTTTCCATCGCATTGCTCGTCATCCGATCCATTGTTGTTATTTATATTTGCAAACAAATCATATAGATCGAAATCACTAGAAAAGCAATCTGTTGGTGGTGGTGTATGAGAGCTTATGACAGTTGCTGTTGTTTTATTCGTTTTGGTGGCTGTGAGATTTGGTAGTGTTGTAGTAATATCATTTCCATTTATATTATCTGTAGTAGGTTCTTCACTTGCAACCTCATCTTCAACACTTGTACCAATGCCGGAAGTTTCAATACTTAAATCATATTCAGTGAATGCTGTTTCCAAAAATTTATCAATCTCCCATTCCGTATGTCTAACGTTTGTGTATTGTGTAGCTGCTTCGAGTGCCTGCAAAGCAGTGTTATCGACCTCAAACTCCAGCACTCCTTTTTTTGAACCAGTCTTTCGAATTGAGGGCAACAAGCCATGTGTCTGTAAGCCGCCACCGCCACCGCCAGCGCTATATTGGCGTGCAATATTTGCATTGCAAGTATTCCGCTTACGATAACGCCGTACGGCTGGTTTTTGTACAATACCCTGCTGTTGATTTAGTAGTTTATCGGCACGTGGCGGTCGTCCACGCTTACGCTTAATTGGTGCTACAATAACAGGTGGTGAGTGATCGTATTTATTTTGGCCACGACGGAGTCGTTTCACATTTTCAGATATCTCTGTGGCAAAACGAATCTCTTCAACAGGTGTGGCTGTTGATAAGCGAGTTAATTTTGTTGAAGATAAACTTGTGGATGGAAGCGTGGATAACTGAGAAGTTAGAGCGGTTGAAGATGTCGATGGAACGGTTGAATTAATTGGTTTTGTTGTATTTGCTGCCAATGGCGATGAATACTTATTTGTAATAAATTCTGTTACTTCGCTTGTTGTACATTTAAGCACTTGTGCTTCATCTTTGAATGCTCTTGCTGATGCGGATGCTGATGTTGATGCAGATACAAATGCAGCTGCAGTTGTTGATGTTGATGGCAATGGAGGAGGTGGTTCGTCCGTTTCCGAATTAGGTTTACTTTGCGAATCCTGTCGCTGTTTTATAATACAACTAACTAACGCCAATGTCGATGCATGTTCACGAGGTGATTTTCGCGGTGGCAGTTCGAGATTTAGGAATGCAGATTTATTGAGATGTTTGTTACGATATTGTTTTTTCCCAGCAGTTGCAGAACTACTGGCATAACTGCTTGCATTGCTATGCGTCGAACCAGCTCGACCACGATCACGACCCTCCCTATCAGGTGTGCTCGACTTACTATCACATTTTTGTACTGCAGCTATGGAATCAATTGCATACGATTTTTCCTCCACTTCCTCAGCACGTTCTGATTTTTGCTGATCTTGAAGTTGTTGCATTTTCCTCTGTTGCAACTCTTTCTGCTCCTGCTGATAACGATGCAGCAAATGTAATTTTTTGTGCTTATGCGTGTATTGCGATGACACAGCCGCATCCTGTAACGTTTGTAACGATGCTGGCGTACATTTAGATTTGTTTAATGTTTCCGGCGTAATATTTGATTCGATTTGTTTGGAATTATTGTTGACAGCAGGTGTTTTTTCGATTGTAGCTTCACGAGCATTATTTTCAATTTTCGCTTTTATTTCAGCATTTTTTTGGCAAATCGTACAGCGTTGACAACTACTTGAAGTACTGTCAAATGGCATCGGGCCCAGCTCATACGGTAGCTTACGATATTTTGTTGACCCATAGTATTCAAAGTATTGCTCTTCACATGCGTCTTGCCGTGAAAACACTTTATACCATACCTCTGATGTTGGTACACGCTCAAAAGAGTACAGCAGTGTATTCAGTCGATCTGTTTGAGACGTACTCGCTGAGCTCTCACCTGAATTGTTATTCAAGTTCGTAATAGACATGTTATCCACTTGATCAATAGTTACATTATTGTTTGTATTATTGCTCTTTTCTTCTTCGGGATCATTATCAGCAATGCTGATGTCAATATCCTCCTCTATTCCAGAAATTCTGTTGCTGTTGCTGTTTCGTTTTCGACGTTGACGAGATTTACCCTTACGTGGTTTTGTTTTTCTAATGGGCATTTTCCGACTAGGCTTTGTTTTGCTAAGAGATTTACGTCTTTTATAATAACGATCCTTACTGCACAAATAATCTTCATCATTATCATCATCCTGTTCGTCATCACTTTCATCGTTTAGATCTATAACACTATTTTGTTGAAGATTAGCTTCATTATCACTGCCTTCACTCTTAAATTCATACTCCCCCATCCTATCCTCCATTTCTACAACTGTTGTTTCACGACGCTGCTTTGCAGACGTTGTTGGCAATTCTACAGATTCCACTTTGATCGAAGCTGCAGTAGTGGTCTCAACAGGAAAACTACGCTTTCGACTACTCGAAGTCACATTTGCTAGAATTTCATTATTTGCCATACGTAGGCAATTATTTTTAGCTGCTTTCACAGCAGCGCATATTAACCGACTGCTCGTTGTTGCTGCACTCACAATGGCCGTTGCAGTGCGACTACTTTTACGTGTCGCTTCAGGCAGAGTAAAGCCCGTTGTCGCAACCATCAGATCTGCTGCAACAGCAGATGGTTTTCGTGTTCGTTTTAGTTGTACATCTGGCTGGATGGGGGCGCTTGGAAAGCTCTGCGTTCGCTGCTGCTGGCCTTTACGCCTCTTTGCCGAAATCTTTGCCCTCTGCGAAGTAATGCTATTATCTTGTGACAACTTCTCAGAATTTTCATTATCAATATCAAGAACCTCACTAGTGCTTTCAAGACTACCAGATGAAACACTCGCACGTACATCTTCCGAACTTTGACGGTCGGTATCAGTAGGCAACTCACTCGAGGCGCGTTGCTTAGGAAACATAAAATTTTCGGCTTCGCCATTCAAACGTAACAATTCAGTCTGGCGAACTTTCTTAAATTTAACTATTATAGATGGCGAAGCAACTGCTTGATCACCTGCGTCTCTCAGCTTACGTTGCGTAGTACAACTCTCATGCGTTTCAACAACTTTATATAGTGAGGATGGTGGGAGCATTGCTCGAATTGGCGGTGAAGAAAGTGCAATTGGTGTTTTTTTACGTAACGAAGTTGAAGTTGAAGCTGAAGCAGCGGTAGGTACGGATGTTGAAGCGCCTGATTCTATACTTTCTAGCTCCATGGCATTGGAAGATACTTTTTTAATTGGACTGGCTGATTTTGGTAATGTCTTTGGCGATTTAGCTGACAGTTTTAATGAGTTTTGAAATTTTTCTGATGAATGTTTACCTTTTGTACTTCTCTTTGATTTCTCTCGCAGAGTTGGTGAAGGTGTTTTCGATGCGCCAGAACGAGTTTTACTACATGCTTTTTCATTTAAAGAGGTTTCTGCATTATCTAAAGGATCATTTATATTTCCCTCATCCATCGCTTTTTCATCGACTTCAACTTCCACTAATTCCGGTTTTATATTATTTTTATTATCTTCCAGAAATTTATTAACGTCAGCAGATGAGTTTATCAATGTATCAAGTGCAATAAAATTTTGATTATTCCTTGCAAAATACTCATGATCTTTTGTTTTTAGATGAATGGTAAGTACATCGTATTCAATTTTACAAATCTCACAAACGCCGCACTGTTTCTCACTAGTTTCTTTGGCTTGTTTGCATTCAGGAGCACCAATATTTGAGTTACGCTTTGCGCCAGTGCTACTTTTTCGCAATACCTGTGAAGAGCGTGAACGAGACTTTCTGGTCATTTTATTCTTCTGTTGATCTTTTAATAAATGGTTCTCCGTGTCCTGAATTTTCTTCGGAGATAAACGAAATGCCCCTTCCTCTTGTTTCAATTCAATTTTAGGCCACTCCGACGGTTTCTTAAATATTTGATAATAGGGGCGGTTATTACGTTTTAGTGATTCGATTTTTATAAAACTTCCTTTCAAATAAATTGGCTCTATCAAACGTGTTTTATTGGTAGAATTTTGACTTTTTGAATCAAGATACGCTTTTAGTTCGTATTGGACTTTTTTAAAAAATTTCAAAGCATATTCCGCTTGCCAAACTGAATAGTTATTTTTCTCAATACTCTGAAATGGCAACGTATCAGCTTTTGTTTGTTTCAAAGCAGCTTTCTCGAATATCGATGAAGATATACAACTTTGACGTACGGCACGATTCAATATAGCATCAGCACGTGACTTTGTTTTGCGAGAAACACCAGGTGTGACGTTACTGTCGTATGACTCAATAGAACATGGCGTTTGCGGAGTGGATGGAGTACCTGGTGTCTGTGGGGTACTTTGAAAGCTGTTAGTTACAAAGCCGATATTACTACAATTACTGCTTGTATTTAAATTACTGCTTACGTTTGGCGAAAGCACAGTCTTATCAGTTATAAAATGTGTTACACTTGGCGTTAGAAAAAACTCGAGACAACCACCAAAGATTTTGATCTGTTCTTCAATTTTTTTAGTCAACTGATTGTCCCTTATATCCAAGTAAAATCTGAAATGAGACAGAGGGGTTTTGCTTTTTACAACCTTTACAGAGTTACGTTTATTGGATCGTGCTTGTGCTGAAGCTGCGATTTGTGAGCTACTTGTTGGCAATTGTTGATGCTGGTGTTGATGTTGGTGTTGATGTTGATGTTGGTTTTGCTGTTGATGTTGATGTTGATTTTGCAATTGCTGTGATAACTGTTGCTGTGGATTGCTCTCAGTGGAATATTGTGCTGATTGATTTTTCTTTTTGTTGCTGTTACTTCCTGCTCTATGTGAATTTTTGACGTGCGCTGAATGTGGTCGCATACCTTTAATAGCAAATTTTCTGTTTTTTGTTGCAGACGATGTCAAAGTGGTACCAGGTACATGTTGAAATGGACCAAGAAGTATAAGAACAAAACATAAATAATTTGTTTTATTTTTTATCACATAGTTAAATTGTTAAATTAACGATGACTAAACAATAATGAATCCATAATGATATTTAATGAAAATGTACAAGGGATATATACATAAATTTATAAAATATTTATATTTATATTTATAAAATATGTGAAAAAATTATAATTATAGAACTTAAAAAAATTTTAATTATTAATAAAATCTAATTATAAGAAATTAAATAATTTCTATTGTTTTTAAAGAAGTTTGTAATATAAACAAAAAAAAAACAACAACTAATATGCATTCAAAAACAAATAAAATATGAGTAAGTCAAAAATATGGAAAAAAAAACAAAAAAAAAATTTGTTTATTTCTTTAAGACACACTATAGCTGATTATCTCAAGCTACCTCAAGTAACGAGTTAAGTATTCGAGTAACATCGTTATTCGGTTACAACTACTCGAATTGTGTATGCCTATGGCGCCTGGGACTATTTTACTTACTTACTTATTTTACGTACTCGTTACTTGAGATCGTAATTACCACAAGTGTTTCTATAACTGTGTATCACTAAATTATAGTCTCATAATTTCTAACAATATTGATTATAGTTCTATGGCTCCTCTATTTGATCACAAGTTTTCTACTTATATCCCAGAGACAGATTAGGCCAGAGGTAACAAGATTTCAAACTAGTGTGCCAAAAATTTACACAAGCATCTCAAAATTCTAGAACAAGATGAGCTGTTCTATCTACTCAAATCTCAAGTTAGTTAGTTGCAGCCTTTAATAACTACTGCCGTAGTTACGCCTCAGATGAAGAAGAAAGTGTTACATATTTGTCGTCAGAAGGCTCACATCTATTCTATAGTCTACATTTTTGAATTGTCTAACCAATATCACTAGTATAGCCATAAAAGATATTAACTTCTTCTTCACTAAAGCAAAAAAAGTGGTTCGTTTGTTAAAGGTAGAGTTTTTTGTGGTATTACAATGCGCCCATTTCTCGAGACACTCTGTCCTTCACATAATTTAGAACTGTTGTAACAGCTATAGATGCCTCTAATAGGGTAATAGGAATTTTTTAAAATTAATTAATTAAAAAAATATAACATTTTAAAGACAGACCAGAAAATATTTTGCTTCCACACATTTTTGTACCTCATAGCCACCAAAAAAATTAGAGGAAACCCTACAGGAAGGAGTATAGGGAGAATTTAAAAAATTCATTTTCTTTCGATTTTTAGCATATTTTTCTTTTCTATCTTTAAATAAGGCAAATGCTAAGGCAATTATGATTTAATAAGGCAATTTAATTTAGCCAAGTATAATTTTATATCACGTAATTGCTTGAAAAAATGTATTTATTTTATAAGGATGTTTAGTTAACGAACAAAGCCAGACAGATTATGCATACATAAATGTATTGATTGGCTATATATGTAATTCAGAAATACAAAAATGAAATATAAATGCAGTATCACATAAAGCATACATACAATGGGTAGCCAACATGTAGGCATTTTAATATAAACTACATGAAATATTAGTTCATACACAAATATATTGATTGCTTTATTACTACTACCTCTCGTACATCCCACACAGAAACGAAATAAAAATGCACCCATAAACAAACTGTAACCTGGAGAAATAGTCAAATTCGCATACTCCATCCAGTTATACATGCTAACGTTCGTATCCGCAAATGAACAAACAAAATAATGAAAATCTAGTCCAAAATATTTAAGGATTAAAACTCTTAAAGCTATAGAATTAAAACATTACTTTTATTACTTAAAAAAATATATATATATAAATTATATAGAATAATCAGAAGATTTCTTATCGAAACAGGACCTTTTAATAGCTCAGAGAAAATTATTTAAGGAACACCAAACGTGGAGTATTTGCGAATAATCTCATAACTTACTTTTGTAAAATCAAAATAAAACACAATTTTAATTTACAAAAAACGTGGAACTCAATAACTCTTAAATATATATCTATCCAGTACTCGCAGAGCATTTCAAATTGTTTGAGTTGAGAATGAAATGTATCCTTTCTCAATGAAATGGTTCCAACCTAAGGCATGTAGAAATTATGTCTGCAGATAAATGATGTGAAAGTCAAGTATCACTAACCAAAAATTATTCTGTAATAATATTAGTATTACTTTCCATTCTCTATCTAAAGTTCTTTCAATCTAAGCATAAATGGATAAACTAATCTATTATAATATCTGCGATGCTATGATTAAGTTCATTTGAAATTTTTGCCAACAGAGAACCTTCAATTTCATTTATTACCACCTTTAAATTACTACTTTAATATGATGTCTTAATATCACAAGGAGACAACGACTTTCTAGTACATGTGGTAGATATCTGCCCGCTCTTGGTCAATTATGGATTGAAGTTAGATTAAAGTGGAAGACTTGCTAGTCAAATTTAACAACATATATATACTTATAAAAATAGTAAGAAAGGTGAGCAGTACGACTCTACATCATATGTAGAAAAAACTGAAAAGTTAATCAAATCATATATACCACACATCAACAAAACATAATCATTAGAACATAATCAGAAAACCTATGTTTTTGTTGTAGCCCGTGGGGATCTATGTAGCAGATTACGTGAAAGGAATTACAATTACGAATATATGAGTTAGAATATGGTTGGAATGGAGGAATTGTGAAAAAAGAAAGAATTTTTTGGAAAAAAGAATAGCTGTGATGCATAGCTGTGATTTTAATTGAAACTAAACTAAGTAAAGTCGGAGAAACCTAGGCACTTCAAAATCAAAGCACTTTAGGACAGATTGATAACTAAAGACAACTACTTTACAACGATATCCGACTATATATGTTCCCACCAGGGCACATAAAAAAATGTCGCTGACTAAATGCCAAATCAAGACAATCACCACTCGAAAATTATTAAAACCAGCTTAATAAGCATTTATATTCTTTCACTACTTTTAATAAATTATAAAGAACCTGCGAATATTACTCTTGTGTAATTAATGTTTAGTATTGAAAAAGACAACGACACACTAAGACCTACAAGACCTATTTCACTATTCCTGGAAAGAGTCTCCTAAGTTTAAGATTAATGCCAAACTTAATAATACCTGTAGATTTTAGAACTTAGACCTCATTTTAGAACTTAGACCTACAACTTAGACTGGATTCTATAAAAGTCGAATGAAGCTGCATGTATAACTTAGACCTACAACTTAGACTGGATTCTATAAAAGTCGAATGAAGCTGCATACTCTTATGTATAATAAATGATATTCTGCAGAACCTATATATATAGCGTTTCAAACAATTCTACATCAAAAATGTGCAGGGAATAAATAATTTTGATTTTTATTGCAAGAGGTTAATAAAATAGGATCACCACTAAGCTTATAGACAAAACACGACTTTTTCAATATAGTTACATTAGGCATATCCCCAATAATATACAACACATCAGACTACAATATATCACACAATCACTACATAATCTTAATAGATCTCATATCACAATCACTTAATAGCACTAGTTATGTTATAATATCACTTTTTACAATTCTAATTCAAATTCTTTTCAAGAAACTTAACTGGAAGTTTGAATATTGTTGAATATTCAACCAGAATAATACAAATAAACTACTTTGTGATGAATTCGCACTTTGTGAATGTATAAACCAGTATTAAAACAATTTTCAATTTTGAGAATTATAAAACAGAAGGTTTTAATATAAACAACATTATTTATTTCTATTCAAAGTTATTCAGATATTCAAAATTTAAAAAACACTCCTTTAGCTCCGTTTTCAATGTTTGTAAGAACGCAAGCAACGGAAGACTATTAAACAATTGAACTGATCTCCATACACAACCTTCTACAAAGCTATATAAATTGGAAATTAGCTTGAACAGCAAAACCATATGTTAGAATTGTTGCAGTTCCGCTTAAAGATAATAGCGTTTTTGTACCCTGGTTTAGTTTGAATTGCTAAAAAACAAAACAAATAAAATATGGTTTAAAGCCGTAATAGGATCACTGTTTAAACATACGGTTTTCTCAAAAACAGAACACACACACGATGTATCAATAGAATAACAAAGAAAGAAACCATATTCTTCTCTAACTCATAGCAGTGATTAAGAGTGATAAGCTCATCGTAGAAGCAAAAGTTACACTCTTCTAATATTTGATTAGAAAATGCAATGATCGACGTGTTAATGTATGAATTAAACGGGTATAGATATAAGACAAAAAAAAAGTAAATTCTCCAGAAAACAGAGTACCCACTTATACACATCATTTAGAAATGTAAATGTTAGCAACAAAGATTATTAACAGAATTATGAACATGGAAAATCTGTTTTCAAAAACAATTTTTTATCTTTAGATATACCAAATCTATCAGAAACTTACCAACTACTTCTAATGAGATAACTTTTTAAAAAACCTATGAAGAATAGTGATAAATAATGGCGACGTCCTTATTAACCGAGATCACATCTTCGTTTTCATTGGATCGGTATTTATGTTAGGGTCTAAGCTCGACGTATAACCTAGTATATTTATATAATAACCTTATAACCTTATATATTTGTAAGAAAAATTTCGCTAGACACTATTTTCATTATCGAATAATTGCAGGTATCCAGAGGGGCCACGTGAAGACTTGGGAACAGTAAAAAGGATCGGACCCTTTACTTTGTATACTCAGTGCCTCTTTTTATTAAAATTCAAATTCTGAAATATATTCTGTCAGAAAAACAGAAAAATCAAATCCTATAAATATATTAACAATGTATAAAATGCTGAATATCGGCAACTTTAGATACTTATCAAATTGATCTAAATCACTATTAAAATTTCAAGAAATCTCTTTGCTAAAAAAGGCAGGAACATCAAAAAGTAAAAAATATATTG